TAACGTATAACTCAGCTTCTGAGATATAACTCAGCTTTTGATTTGTGTAATCGAACGAAAAAGAATCGTCCGATCTGCGTTTCTATACTATAAAAGGGGTGATCTGCATTGCCATTTTTGGTAATGTGCCTGACTGTATTCCTGACTTGTATCGTTTACTGTCCTGTTCTAAACCGGCACATTCACTATTTCCCGCTCTCCCGCCGATAGTAACACCGGCTTAAATCACTAGTTAATACATGAGCTATTACCGGTGTACCATTTATATCTGAGTTGACTGATAATAATCAATTTAAATTTCGAAATCAGATATCAATATCCGACCAATTCTAAACGGCCTTGATTATGTTATTTAAACACATAATTTTAATGGAGTAATGATAAATTTTTGCAGGCAAAATTTGTGATTATCGAGATTCAGGTGATTCTGCTATTACGATTAGTATTATATTCTGGACAATTGGACGCATTGGCCAATCACGAATTTCCCGAAAAATAATATATATATATATATATAATGTAAATCCATCTGTTCTTGATTAAAAAATGTTTCGCAATACCAATTCACTTATATACTTCAAGAAAGCTATAAAAAGAAATGGTTCTGGTCTTATACGTAATATTAAATAAAGCATTGATTATTCTCAACTAACATTATTTTCTCTAATATAACGTTGATTTTAGCCTTTCAAAAACGGTTTAATTCGCAAACTTTAGATATAAAAGGGCCATTGGATGGTGTTCGTGTTCTAGAATTAGGACAAGTGCGATATTATATTATTATATAGTCAATACTAATTTGTGAATTTATTTATTTATTATTTTTTAATTCATTTGTATGATAAAAGTTGATTGCCGGACCATTTTGTGGAACAATCCTTAGGTAAACATAATTTAATCATGTTAACCAACTTCATACATATTCAATAATAATTTATGCATAAAAGTTATTATGGTGCGGAAGTGGTACGTAAGGATATTTGACTTATCCTGAATAAAAAGATAATTATCGCTAATTATTAACGGTTTATATTCAAGATCAAAATTGAAACACCAGGATCAGGCGATCCGATCCGTGTTTGGCGAAACATAGATATTGATGGTGTCAGTCCATGGTTTCGCTCAATGGGCAGAAATAAAAAGTCATGTGAGATAAATCTACGAACAGAAGGTGGAAGAAAGTAAAGTTCACCTAGTGTTTAGTATTCAAACAGATCAATATTGATAAGTAATTTTTTTCTTGGTACAATTAATTTGCTCGGCGTGGTTAAATAGACTAGTTCGCCAATTGGCTGATAAGTGTGATGTTTTACTTGAAAACTTTCGTCCTGGTACGATGGAGAAATGGGGGCTTGGACCTGGTAAGCTTTTAACGGTCGTTAATGGTCGTTACAAATACTGTATTCCACCGAAAATAAGCACCCCCCGAAAGTAAGCGCCCCCACAATTCATATATACCCGAAAATAAGCACATCTTATATAATAGAAATAAGCAACTAAATATCAAGTCGTTCAGATTATTAGTTGAGATTATACCCGAAAGTAAGCACTCCTATAGTAAAAAAAAAAAAAAAGGATGCTTATTTTCGGAGGAATACAGTACTGTATAATTCGGAACTCTCTCTTTCGCAATATTTTAATAATCTTTATAATAGATGAACTTTACAAGACAAATCCTTCGTTAATATACACGCGAGTTTCTGGGTTTGGGCAAACAGGTCCTTATGCATCAAAACCAGGCTTCGCGTCAGTATGCGAGGTAAATAGATTTTTTAAGTTTATCTACACGATTACATAAAAAAGTAACTTATTCTCTTGAAACAATTTATCATAATACGAAGGCAATGGCAGGATTTCGATATATAACCGGTTTTCCAAATATGCCACCGGTTCGCCAAAATATATCCATAGGAGATTCATTGGCTGGATTGACTGCGGCATTCGGAACTGTTATGGGACTTTTGGCTAGGAATAAAATTACTTCAAGTGATAAAACTGGTCAGGTGATTGACGTAGCCATTTATGAAAGCATGTTTAATATGATGGAAGGCATTTTACCTGAATATGATAGATTTGGAGAAGTATGTTTTGAAAAATATTATATATAATATTATATATTTGGTATATATATATATATAAAATTTAATTTCACTATAGATAAGGCAACCTTCTGGTACTTCTGTCACTGGTATTGTACCTACAAATGCGTACCCGTGTTCAGATTCTAAATATGTAATCATTGGTGGAAATGGAGATACAATATACAAACGACTGATGAAAGCTATCGGAAGGGAAGATCTCATCACTGCAGAGTATGAAACTAACAAGGAACGTGTTAAACACAAAGAATTGATTGATAATGCAATTTCAGATTGGACGCGTACTTGCACATCCAAAGA